TCTCTCTCTTTGTCTCTCTCTCTCTTACTCTCTCTGTCTCTCCTCTGTCTCTGTCTCTCTTTCTCTCTGTTTATCTGTCTCTCTCTCTCTCTCTTTCTCTCTGTCTCTCTGTCTGTCTCTCTCTCTCAACCTCCCTCCCTCTCTCCCCAACTGTCTTAGTGATATTTCTATCACTTACCCTTCCTGTTTGCGTTTCCCGCCATTATATGCAATCAAGTAAACCTACATCAGATAATGCTGGTAGCTCTGTTCAAATCTTGATTAACCTTTGCAAGAGATGCTTTCAAAATGAATCAACCAGGGTCTCTAGGACCAAGCTCTTCACCCTTTTAAATCCTGCCTTGGGAAAGGATTAGATGATCTCTGCGAGTCCCATCCAGTCGTTGGATTAGGTTACCTTCAGAACTGGTGATCAGGGCAACCCTCTCCTCAAACAAAACATTGCGTGAGAAAAGCCTGAGCGAGGCAGGAGGCATCTGGTAAGACTTCAGTTTGGTATCTCAAGGTTTTGTCTCCATAGAGATGCTATCAGAGTCTAACAGGCTCAATGGCAGGTCCATTCTTTCTCTTTTAAAAAAAGCCACAACTTTTTAAGGCCTGGTGCCAAGTCCCCGAATTCTTCTACCAAACTGTAAGGTGTGGCAGTACGCTTAAACAAAAACTTAAATGGAGGCTTGCAAATCAAAGAAAGCAGACTTTATATTTGATCAAAGTTAAAGTTCTAGGTCAGAAATTCCTAGCACATCACAAGAGACATGGGAGGAAAATTGCACAAAATACAGAAAGATGTCCTGTCCTTTTTATACATGCAAAAGTCTTTGTTCTTAGTTCTCTAATTACCTTGCAAATCTCTAGTCATGTAATCTAACGAGTTGTAAAACACTAGTCATGTAATCTAATCAAGATTTACATCTTCCTGCAACAAGCAGATTCTATTGGCTGTGTTATCTTTTTTCCCATTGTCTGCCTAATTGATCATTTGAGGAGTACACTTCAAAGATATGGATTACTCTGGGAGGTTTAGGAGATGTTACATTTGCAGAGGACGCCATGAGATCTGTCAATCCCCGAAAACAGATGGATTCAGATTGATTTAGATGGGAGGACGTAGGCCTTAATAGGAGAAGGATGTAATTGATAGCAGGCATGTGTTTACAGTTGTTTTACAACAAGTGAATGGTTAAGGAAATCGTTTTTTACAACAGCAAGATAACAAATGCCCATAGGCTAACTTTCTACTTAATGCTATAATATATTCTACTACATTTCTTTATTTATTATTGCTATTCCCTTCAAAACCATAACATCGCAAGGAATTCAACTTCATAACAATTGCAACATTCTTTCTTCTTAAAAGAGAAAGGTGCTATGATAGATGTGTTTGCAATTTTTTAAAAAATAAGAATAGCAAAATTTGGCAGGGTCAAACCCAACTGCTGAATCAAAGGATCTTGGAACGGAGGATACAGCAGAAAGCAAGGAATTTTGGACACTTTCTGAGGGTGGAACCATAGTAAATATATATATATATGTATGTATGTATGTATGTATGTATGTTTGGCATCATCGCAGAAATTGTAATCAGAGCTGCTTGCAGATTCTGTAAGGCGGTTTGCAGAAATTTGGATCGCTTTGGCACATGGTTGTACATCTCTTTTGAAAACCTCCTAGTGATGAAGCACCATATATATATATTTTTTGTGGGGGGAGGATGCAAAGTCATCCCACTGTTTAATTGTTCTAACTGTCAGGAAATTTCTCCTTAGTTCTTTCTCAGCATTCACCTTGGAGATTTAGGCAGCCAAAATGATGAGCAAGATCACCTTTTCCGCAAAGGCTGCAAGACATTTGCAGCAGTAACAAGTCCTTGGAGGTACGCAGCTGCTTGCTAGAACGCCTGCACTTTTTAAAGCGTTTGTTAGAAACTTTAGAAATCGTTCTTGGCAAAGTTCTGGAAAGTGGCCTCATTCGAAATGAGCAGATAAAATAAGGAAAATCTTTTTTTTTTTTTTCCCCTTCTAAAAGTGAGAACGATTAACCAGTGGAACGACTTTGCCTTCAGAAGTTGTGGGTGCTCTGTCACTGGAGGCTTTTAAGAAGAGTCTGGAGAGCCATGTCTGAAATGATATAAGGTCTTCTGCTTGATCAAGGGGTCAGACTAGAAGACCTCCAAGGTCCCTTCCAACTCCGTTATTCTGTTCTTTTCTAAATCATAGACCTTTAGTGGCAAGTTGTTTGCTGCTTTTTTGTTGTTTTTGTGACATCAAAGGAGGATTTTTGGCGAAGTTCACTTCTACCGTCTTAACTTTTGGGAACTATCTTGAGTAGCCGCTGAAGGATTTGGGGAAATGGTTGTCATCCCTGTTTCTAAATCTTTCGCCATCGGGTAGCTTCTCTATTAAAAACCGAGTAGATCTGAGTGGCCCCGGGTGATGAACTATTTAAGTAAATTTCACAGCGTTCTGGTGAAAGTACTTTTGAGGAAGGGCAGGCGGAAAAAAAGAAAGCGTTTTGTACTTCTTCTAAAATGGGGTTCCACGTTTAAGCCACGGAGGCTACAAAGGAGGGTATATTTGGTAAGGGAAGAATTAAAAAAACCTTGCTGGATTTGTATGCTCAGGTTCCACACAGTTGTTTACTATGTCCTGGTGCTTTCAAATAAGGCTTTTCTAGAGCATTTCAAAGAGGCTGAATAGAGATGTTTTTTTAAAAAAAATTTATCCCCCTTTTATTATTTTCATAAATAACTCAAGATGGTGAACATATACAATACAATTTCCTCCTATTTTTCCCATGACAACAGCTCTTTAAGGTAGGTTGGGCTGACAGAGAATGACTGCCCCGAAGTCACCCAGCTGGCTTTCGTGCCTAAAGCAGGACTAGAACTCACCGTCTCCTGGTGATTGGCCCAAAGTCACCCAGCTGCTTTCATGGCTAAATCAGGATTTGAACTCGTGCGCCCCCACTTTCTACCCTGAGACCAAACGGACGCACGTTTGTATCCGCATTTATAAATCTGTGCCTCATTTGTATTGTATTCTAAAATAGAAGAGAGTTAGAAATATCTTCCATTCGTAACTCTCTTCTATGTTCCCTTATGTAATTTTGGTTGTTTTGGTCTTATGTCCACATAGGAGAGGAAAGAAGAATAGATGTTTTGTGGATTATTTCTCTGGAAGGGTCATTGCTGAGGAAAACAGCCCAGGGTCCCATTTTTATATGTTTCCAAAATCCATAAATCTTTCCTTGTTCTAAACCTCTTTGGAAAGCTGCCCTGATATGCTCAATCTCCAAAGTGAAATAATCTGCTGGTTTGTGTTGGTCAGTTGGGTTTATTTTCCACACTCGGGACTCTCATTCTGAATCTGGCTGCGGTCCCCTTAAGTGCCCAGTGAGCTCCAGTCAGTAATTCGAGGACTGTGCAGAAAGGTGGATTTTACTTGGATTTTATTTTAGTTTGAGGTTGCCTTGGTAATTCAACAAAATTCTTGGATACTGTGTGGAGGATACAGAAGGTTCTTTGCATCAGATTGGATCTGGTCCAGGCAGTGATCCAACATTTGACCAACAAGGTTAAGATAGGAGAGAGAGAGAGAGAGAGAGAGAGAGATGGAAGGAGAGAAGGAGAGAGAGATTGTGTGTGTGTGTAAGAGAGAGAAAGGGATTGTGTTTGTGTTTGTGTGTGAGAGAGATTGTGTGTGTGTTTGAGAGAGAGAGATTATGTGTCTGTGTGTGAGAGATAGATTGTGTGTTTGTCTGATGGACAGAGAGAGATTGTGTTGTGTGTGAGAGAGATTGTGTGTGTGTGAGGGGGGGATTGTGTTTGTGTGTGAGAGAGAGAGATTGTATGTGTGTGTGAGAGAGAGAGATTGTGGATGTGTGAGAGAAAGAGATTGTATTTGTATGTGAGAGAGAGGAAGATTATGTGTATGTGTGAAAGAGAAAGAGATTGTATGTGTGTATATGTGTATGAGAGAGATTGTATGTGTGAGAGGAGGGAGAAACACACACACACACACAGAGTTCATTGGTTTTCCTGTGTTTTCCCCCCCGTACATGCACCCTGGAGAGACCTACATTCATTTTGGGCTTCTGAAATTTGGGCAGGAAAGGTATAAAGGACTTCAGAGGAGAAGAAGGGGTGGAAATTAGAATAATTCTGGGCCATCAAATAGAAACGGAACAACTGAGTTGGAAGGGACCTTGGAGGTCCTCTAGTCCAACCCCCTGCTTAGGCAGGAAACTACACCACTTGAGACAAATGGTTATCCAACATCTTTTTAAAATCTCCCAGTGTTGGAGCATTCACAACTTCTGGTGGCAAGCAGAAAATTTCTCCTTAAGTCTTAGGTTAGATCTCTCCTTCATTCATCTCCACCCATTGCTTCTTGTCCTGCCTTCAGGTGCTTTGCAGAATAGGTTGTGACCCCCGTCTTCTTTGGGGCAGACTATTGGAGGACTTCCATCATGCCACCCCGTAATCCTTCTTTTCGTTAAACTGACCAAGAAAGAAGGAAGATGATGATTAAAGCACGCATTCAGAAGCATCTCTTCTGGGCAGCTCGCTGGAGTGGGAGACTTCATTTCTTCTTAACTTGATGGAATCAATGCAGTCATTCTGTGATTGGGGGGGTGGGTTAAGCTGCCCCTTTTGTGTTTGTGTGGTAAGTGGCACTGCCTGAAGCCACATCTGTGTATCCCCAGCTGCATAGAAAGAAGAGACGGGAGGGGAGGCACTTCCTGGAACCACGCTAACTCCAAGCCAATTTCAAATATAGAAGATTCCCCTCGCTGAACGTTCATGTCTTAAAGGAGCTTAATTCAAGATTAGCCTTACTTAATACCTTCCAGAGCTTTTAACATGCTTGGAAGTAGAATTCCATTGGAGGGAAACCCTCAAGATGCAAGTGAGGTGAACAGGATGGGCTGGTCAAAGTGACATCTCTTTTTCCTTTCTTCTCTCTCTCTCTCTCTATTTTTCTCCCCCTCTCTCTATGCAGGTGGCGCTTTCCATATTGAGAGAATCTGCAGAAGATCATTAAAACTACCCTGAGAATTGCAGGTTCTCCACCCCAACTTCAGAAGCATCCATCTTCTCATTGAATTGGCAGCCTGTGGATAAACCATGGAACTTTGGATCCCGTCTAAACCCGTTTTTCTGCATTGTTATTTATTCCGACACTCTCCTTGGGATGGAAGCATTGAGTGAAGCCTCCATGTGACGCTACTTTCTTGGCAGAAACTCTGATGAAAAAGCCCAAATGAAGGATCTGGCTTATCTTTCTTTTTTGGCATTGAAAAAATCATTCCACGACCGTTCACGCCATTAAGCTTCCCTTCCTGGGAATGCAGGAATGGCCAACGGAGGAAGCCATGGCTTCGGAGAGCAGCCCTACGAGGAGAAAGAGTCAGAAGAAGGTTCTGGAGTTGAAGAGAGAAGAGATGGAGACTTCCAGTTGGGAGGAAACAGCCTTGTTGGGAATTTGGACGGCTGGACCTTGTCTTCTTCCCAGGAGATCCTGGAAGATGAAGAACTTTTGGGGGAACTGAAGGACTATCCATACCTTTTGGAAGAAGCAGAACAAGGTTTTGATCTCGGTGAACTTCAAGATCTTGAACATGCAGGAGATGTCAATGCTACAAGTCCCCTGCCAGGTGAGTAACACAGGCAATTAGGGACCCAAATTTCTGGTCAGGTTATTATTTAGAGTAATATCTGAATTGGAGTAGAGATTTTGCACATTCAGGAAAGATAACTCTCAATGGTTCAAAGGAGATGTTCTGGAGAGCCACCTTGTCATTGTTCCATAGGTGCTTTTTCAAGACACAACTGGATTTTCTTGTTTTTCTTTGAAGACGTTTCGCTTCTCATCCAAGAATTGGATGAGAAGTGAAATGTCTTCCAAGAAGCTTCTTGGATGAGAAGCGAAACATGTTCTCCAAAAACCCCCAAGAAAGTCCAGTTGCCTCTTGAAAAACCACCTTTGGGACATCCATGACTTGGATGACTGAGAATCTCCATAGAAACTTTGTCACTGGTGGGAGAGTCTTAAGGGAGCACTGGTTGGAGCTAGAACAAAAACTGGATGCAATCTTTATTTTTTAAACATCTTTTTAAATTCTGTCTCTCTTTGGCTTTTCCAGCTCCTAGTTTCTGTATATTTTCAGCCAGACCCTGAAACACCAAAGTATGAGTCTAATGTTCTTGCTAAATGTGCCAGTAGTAGGGCTATTTAGCACTCCAGATTAACTCTTCTCTGAAGCATCTGGCTTTCCTGGAATTGTGCAAGAAACACAACCAGTATTTGCTCAGTATTATGGATCCAGCATCATTTGGGTAAATAAATGGCAGAAAAATCTTCAGATTGGCAGCTGCTTGAAAGCCCATGTAAGAAGGATATATGATTTATAAGAACCCCTATACCTATACATTTTTAATTTGTGGTTATTAGCTTTGAACAAAATGTAATGTTTTGATTTGTGTTGGCCACCCTGAACTATAAGATGGGTTGGAAGGGAATGGGTTGATAACTAGGACAAGGTGAGAGAGACCTTCTAATATTATGTCCTTCTCTTGTTTAGAGGAGAAAGGGAGTCCCAAGGATCTTGGCATGAGGTCTTACTTCCAGCTAGATAGGAGGCGTGAAGAAGACAGCACTGAAGTTGAGAAGACAAGAGGGACATGGGACAGCCAGGAGGATGTCCAAGCTGAGCTTTTTTTTGAAGGCCAGTACAGTTCAGACTTCAGTCCCAGTCCTGAGGTCCTGCAAGACCCTCTTGCTTTGTATAAATGCAGCTTTGCCTCCGATAATGTGGACGATGAACTCTCTGGCAGCTCCAACCTTAGCCCTTCTCCCTGTGGTCCCCCTCCAATGTGCACCCAACTAGAAATTGAACCTCAAATTCCGGGTGAGGATGGTCTGGACTTCCCTGAAGATCGAAAGTTCTCCTGGGAGTCAGGAAGAAACCCAGAAAGCCATGGTTCTCTTGCAAGTTCCTTGCAGTACGATCGTCGCCTCTTGGATTTCCAATCTTTGGAAGATCTTCAGAATTGTCCCGGCATCGATGCCGAGACTTGTCCGGAGTTATCTTGGATGGAGAACTTGGAACAACCTCTGGAGAAAGAACCTCAAGCCCTCCAGCAGCTCGCTTCCAACAACGCTGAGGAAAGACTTTTGGATTCCAGAGGGACAACGCAGATGCCCCACACCTTCACACGAGTTGGTAGCCAACTGGAGAAGCGCACACGCAAGCCAAAAGCAGATGTACCCCATGGGCTGTTGTCCAAAGGTCCAAGGCAGTCCAGATCTCTGAGCCCTCAACGAATTACCAGCCAGAAGAAACCGGGACGTCCTGCTTTGAAAGAACCAAACCGAGAGACTTTGTCAAACTCTGGGGCAAGAGACATCACCCAATATGGCCGAGGAAAACTCAACTACCCATTACCAGATCTCTCCAAAGTGGAACCCCGGGTCAAGTTCCCCAAGGATCCTCAAAGCTACCAACCACCTCAAGGGAAGACTTCTCCAGCCAGCAGGAAGGAGGTTAGGAAGCCAGTCATCTTCAAGTCTCCTGCCGAGATTGTCCGAGAGGTGTTGCTGAATAGCGGAGAAGGACCTCACGCAAAATGCCCCACGCCCACCGTCTCTGTTATTCCCGAGGAACTGAAGTCCCCCAGACAGGCTACGGAGCTGGTGCATCAGCTTCAGGTAAGGTCTCCCAGACGCGTTCCGAAAAATGCCGAAAAACTTTGCAGCGTCCATTTGGGGCTCGAGATTGTGGTCGTGATCCGAGGACCGCCTATGTTCGGGAAGAGAGCACAGGCGGTCCTCGGATGATGACCACAATATTGCTCCAGCTTTACGACGGGTCTTAAGCACGTTTGTGAAGCAAATCCTTGCAGCTGGGGTCACACAGGGATTAATTGCGTAATGCCCCCCCCCCCCTCAATTCATAAAATATTTCTCTGGTCTTTTAGAGTTGCCGACAGAAAGGGAGGAGGGAGCAGCGTAGCAGCTTGCAAAACCGAAACTGCGTTCCATAAATATATTCATAGATAGTTTCCATGCGAAAACTCCTTCTGTCTGGCGTAGAGGCTTTTCAATTTGCAGAAATGTATTTTATTATGATGGTGATGATGATTCTCACTGTTCTGGAGGTTTGCTCATTCATGTGAGTACGTACTCGGTCTCCGAAGCCATCAATAGAAAAATCTAGGCCAGTAGCCAAAAGCAAGCTGTTTAATGTACCCGCCGTTTGTCTGCATCCATCTAAGCGGAGAGAGAGGTCATAACCTGCACACATTATGCACATTTCCCCTCTTTCTGTGTTTTTCACCCTCACTCCTTTGTGTGTGCATCCTCCAAGGTTAAAGCACCATTCGTAGCAATTCAATCCTTGACTTCTAGTATCCGGTTCATCCATATACAGGTAGCTCTTAACACAACATAGAATAGAGTAGAGTAGGAGTAGAATTAGGTTAGGTTAGGTTAGGTTAGGTTAGATTAGGTTAGGTTAGGCCAGAATAGAATAGAATAGAATAGAATAGAATAGAATAGAATAGAATAGAATAGAATAGAATAGAATAGAATAGAATAGACAACATAATACAGAGTAGAATTGAATTTAATAGAATAGAATACGGAGTGGAGTGGAGTGGAACAGAACAGAACAGAACAGAACAGAACAGAACAGAACAGACTCATACATATGACCATTGCTCTGTGCCATGTACAACAAATCATGCACCCACAAAGCACTTTCTATTCCATGTTCTCTTCACCATCTTTTAGGAAGACTACCACAAACTTCTAACCAAGTACGCTGAAGCTGAGAATACCATCGACCGGTTGCGGCTGAGTGCCAAGGTACCAGATGATAAGGAATTATCATATTATCCAGGTCTTTTCTGTAACCTTTGCGTCTGGTGCTTTGTGGGTACCACATTCTCCTCATGGAACACCTTATGAACATACCTGCTTGGGGAACAGGTAGTAACGGATCATAAAACAGAGGTTTTGTGTATAAGACTTTACAGGTTTCACTGCTCCCTGCTGCTTGGAGAAGACCATGCTTGCAGATTACAGATTCATAGAGTTGGAAGGGACCTTATAGGTCATCTAGTCTAACCCCTCTGCCCAAGCAGGAGACCCTTCACCATTTCTGACAGATAGCAGTCCAATCTCTTCTTGAAAGCCTCCAATGATGAAGCTCCCACAACTTCCGAAGGCAACTTCTATTCCATGGGTTGATTGTTCTCTCTGTCAGAAAATTCCTCCTCATTTCCAGGTTGAATCTCTCCTTGTTCAGTTTCCATCTCTTATTCCTTGTCTGGCCTACAGGTGCTTTGGAAAATAGTTTGACCCCTTCATCCTCTCTGTGGCAGCCCCTCAAATATTGGAAGACCACTATCCTGTCTCCCCTGGTCCTTTTCTTCCCTAAACTAGCCATGCCCAGTTCCTGTAACCGTTCTTCATAAGTTTTGGTCTCCAGTTCCCTAATCATCCTGGTTGCTCTTCTCTGCACTTTTTTCCAGAGCCTCGACATCTTTTTTACATTGTGGTGACCAAAACTGGATGCAGTACTCTAGGTGTGTCCTTACTAAGGCTTTATAGAGTGGTATTAGTACCTCACTTGATCTCGATTGTATCCCTCTGTTGATGCAACTTAGGATAGCATTGGCTTTCTTGGCTGCCACTGCACACTGCTGGCTCATATTTAACTGGTTGTCCACTAAGACTCCAAAGATCCCTCTCACAGTTACAACTATTAAACCTGGATTCACCCAGCCTATATGTGTCCTTTTAGTTGGTTTTGCCTAAGTGTAAGACTTTATTTTTCAACATGCTGTTTCAACATGGCTCTGTTTTGGTAAAAATCTATCAGAAAATGGATGGTCAGAGTTAAAGTTTAGTACCTTTCCATTCACCTTTGACCAATAATTATTGTTTCCTGGATCTATCAGTATCATAATGTCTGGGAATGAGTTGAAATCTGTTTTTTTTCCCTCAAGTTCTAAAGCCATGAATTCTGGTTTTATACCCTAGTTCTGGGTTTTTATTTCAGGGTGAGCTGCAACATTCTGAATTTATCTCTCAACTGAGTTTCAGATCTCAGGATCTGCAACCCAGTTTGGTCGACAAAGATCCTGTAAACGTCATTAGGCTGCAAACTTCATTAGATTACCTCAAATTAATTTGCACTCTCTCTCATCCAAAGTTCTCCAAAAGACCAGAAGAATATGCTACTCCTGATCCATTTCTTTTTAAAAATCCCAGCTTTACTTCATTTCAAAAGTAGAATTCAGATTAGGCTGGAATCCATCGTTGTTGCTTTTCGAAAATGATTATGAGTCGGAAATCCTTGCTATTCGAAACCCTTTGCAAATACAATCGGATCTGGCTGGCTTTGGCTGTGCAACTCTGTGAGGAATGTCTTGAGGAAGTCTTTAGGGCTGTTGAAAAGAAGAAAAGAGAATTGTACTTTTCAAGGGGAGAAGGAAGCACTGGGGTTTCTTTATTAAGATGACTCAGCCAGTTTCTCCTTGAACAGGAAGTTGCAAAGAGGAGGGGAAATCAAGAACATGCCCCCGAAAAACATTGCATTTGCAACTGGCTGTTCTCTCCTCGTCGATTTCCTGTATGTCCCACAGAGGCATAGAATCAAGTATTAGTACTGCTTTATAAAACCCCAGTAAGACCCACAACTGGAATCCTGCAACCAGTTTTGATCACCACATTACCAAAAAGATGACGAGACTTTGAGAAAAAAATATTTTTTTTTTTCACTTGGCAACATAAATTTTGAGCTCCGTTGTGGCCATACATGCTGGTCTTGGCTCTCCTCCTTGGTTGGGCAGGGGGGTTGGACTAGATGACCTGCAAGGTCCCTTCCAACTCTGTTAATCTATGTTAACGTTAATATCTTTGAGTTACTTTTTTATAACTGATTTCTTTTTTTCCCTTTTAAAAAAAAAAGAGAGAGAGAGAGAGAGAAGCATTCTCTTTGGAGCCAACCTGTCATCGTTTTACAAATTCTTGTCCTCTTTTCCCCTATCCTTTGCTGAAAAATCTCCACTAGGGGTTCCCTGTTTGTTGGGGGGGGTGGGGGGAAGGCCTTGTGTCCCCCACCCCATGATGCTTTCATGCAGTCACAATGCTTAGTTTATGGAGACATCACTGGGAGATTTGAAGGAGGGGCAGGCTGTGGCAACTGAAGATGTGGGTCAGCTTCAGAACTCCAGTTCTAGCTGTTAGGATATAAGCAGGGGAGAAGCCTTGGAATTCACCTCCACTCGTGCGATTCGGAGGACAATGACAGTTGGAGACCTGAGAAAGCAGGTAAAGGTTGTAGCCATTTATAAAACCTGGGCTTCCGGTTCGAAGTGTAATTGAAACACGAGTTAAAAGAGCAGAGAGAAGGTCCGTATTTTCAGCCCTAAAAGGGAATAGACTTGGAAGCCAATCCAGCAGAATCATCGTGAGCCTGGAATAACAGAGTTGGAAGGGGCCTTGGAGGTCTTCTAGTCCAACCCCCATGCCCCCCCCCCTGCTCAGCAGGATCCATCACTGGAAGTTTTTTTAAGAAGAGACGATGAAATACGAGGTTTCTTCTATTTTATTTTATTTTTTTTCTTTCTGCCCTTTCAGGTACGCTTGTACAGCGACCCTCCCAAGCCCAGCCAGGCCGCTGAAATGGGGAGAATATCAGAGGCATCCAAAGTGGTAACATTCAGCATCCCTCAAATCAGGTCTGCTGAGATGACCAAGCGGTCCAGCCAAGCATCCACGAGCGGTTACGGTGAAGGTAAGTTGAAGACGTTTGCATCTTGTCTTCCTTGATCCTGGGAAGAAACAGCGTCATTGCCGGTAAGGGGAACAGCTGTAAACTGAGCAAGTAATTCCTGGTTCTCCAATGCTCAGTGCCAGTCATACCTGTGGATGGGATGACTGAGAATTCCCAGGGTTGAAGGCTAGACTGGCAAGCTGAAAAAAATTCCTTTGAGAACAAGCCATTTCTCTCTATAACCACCAAGAAGTATAGTAGTATATAAATAGGGTGGAAAACCCACTCCCTTCTAGCACTGATGATGTTACCTAGTTGGGTCATGAAACGTCTGGAAGAAAACCACCAAGCTCAGAGAGCACCAAGGACTCTACACTCCTCCTCCTCTTCCTCCTTCACCGCCTCCTCCTCTTCTTTCCCCTTGTCTTCTCCTCCACAAAGCCCACTCCCTTCTAACACTGATGATGTTACCTAGTTGGGTCATGAAACGTCTGCAAGAAAACCACTAAGCTCAGAGAGCAGTAAGGACCCCTTATCATCATATCTTCTTCCTCTTCCTCCCCTTCTCTCCTCCAAAAATCCCACTCCCTTCTAACACTGATGATGTTACCTAGTTGGGTCATGAAACGTCTGCAAGAAAACCACTAAGCTCAGAGAGCACCAAGGTCCCTACACTCCTCTTCCTCTTCCTCCTTCTCTTCCTCTTCTTTCCCCCTTCCCCTCTCCTCCACAAACTCCACTCCCTTCTAGCCCTGATGATGTTACCTAGTTGGGTCATGAAACGTTCTGCAAAAAAAGCCACGAAGCTCAGAGAGCACCCAGGACCTCACATTCCTCTATTGTTGCCAGTAAATCAATGTTCCCACCGTGAAAGTATTACGCTCCCTGAATTGAGCTGAACTTCAAGCAGAATTTATAATTTTCTTGCGTTGCAGGATTTCCTAGGCAGCCGGCACAACCCTCGTCCTTGAGCTATTCCATGGGCATCGCTTCTTCCGAAACAGATTGTCCCATCTCCAGCAAAACACCTTTCTTGGGTGATCATCTCACACGATTGTTAACTGCCCAAGCAAGTAAATTTCAGACCCAGGCAAGTTGCTGTTGTTGTTTTAATTTCCAATAAAGGACAAAATTTGTAGCCCAGGATTGAACTGTGGGGTCCTTTCATGCTCTCTGAGCCCAGTTCTTTTTCTTGCAGACGTTCATGACCCAACTAGGTAACATCATCAATGCTAGAAGGGAATTAGGGGTTGCTTTTCAATTCATCCAGCACTGATGATGTTACCTAGCTGGGTATTGAAACGTCCGCAAGAAAACAACCAAGCTCAGAGAGCACCAAGGACCCCACAGTCTTCCTCCTCCTCCTTGCACACCCCACTCCCTTCTAGCACTGATGATGTTACCTAGTAGGGTCATGAAACTTCTGTAAGAAAACAACCAAGCTCAGAGAATGCCAAGGACCTCACAGTTTCTTGCTTCTGATTGGCAACTGGAAAATAAAGTGGGATTTTTGAGCATGTTTTCCAATTTGAAAAGCATTCTACGTGTATGCTGAGTATGTTTCGGCATTAAGTAAATTGATTCTGGGTTGCAACTGTTTTAAGACTTGAGCACACTCGTTCTTTGCCCTTTGTTTAATCTTTTCCCACTTCTTGGAACTGAGATAGGAAAACAACTGTCCTACCAGTCTGATTAATGCAATATGTTGAATTCATTCCTCATTTTTTTTTCCCAGATGGAATTCTTGGAGGATTTAATTCAAACCAACCAGCTGGAGGCCACGGACCAGCTGAAGGTAACAGCATTTTTTTCCTCTCCTCCCGCTTAAGTGACACCTGTGCCAAAAATTGCGCTTACGCTCGTGCTCACACACTCATATGCCACCACCCAGAAGGCAATGTGCATGATTCCCCCCCACACACCACCCTCTTACCTGCATGGCGCATGCGCACACCTCCCAGCTGATTTTCAGCCCATTTGAGGCCTTTTTCAGCCTCCCGGAGGCTCGAGGGAAGCCTCTGCCACCTTTGGAAGCCAAAATATGGGTCTGTTTCATCACTTCCGGTATTTAAGTGCCCGTTTTTCAGCCTCCAAAGGCTACAGAGGCTTCCCTCGAGCCTCTGGAGGCTGAAAATCAGCTGGGAAGCACGCACATGTGCAGTGCAGGTAAGTGTGGCTGGGACTTGCTTTTACCTCTCTTCAATAAAAGATTCCTTTTGAAATACAAAGTCTATACTTAATTTTTGAAGAGGGGAGAGGCTGGTCCTTACAGTCGCCAAAGGGGATCGCATGATCCCTGCCACTGCCATAAATATAAGTTCAGGGTTGCCAAATGTCTGGACTTTGATCACGTGGTCCTGGGGATGCTGCAAAGCGGTCCTACGTCATTTTTGTTCGGTGCCATTGTAACTTTGAATGGCCGCTACAAGAACTGGGGTAAGTTGAGGTTTTCCTCTCCTCATTCCTCTTTCAATTTTCCTGTCTCTGTAGGGGTTTGCAAGATTGAAGGAAGCTCAGGAAGCACTGGAACAAGCTTATGTGCAGGCTCGAAATAAGTACCAGCAGTTGAATCAGAACGGAGCTATGGAGACCCTAGGAGAATTTGATCCCAACCGGTACGTAGACATACACCCTCTAGATTAAAAAAGAGGTTCAAAAATGCTAAGGTTTGTCAGCTGGAAAGCTGACAGACTGGTTTGAGTCCCGAGTGTCACGCGACAGGGTGAGCTTACACTACTTAACTCAATTCCTGCCAACTTAGCAGTTCGAAAGCATGTAAATGCAAGTAGATAAATATAGTAGGTACCATTTTGGTGGAAGGTAACTGCATTCTATGCACTTTGGTATATAATAATGCCACCCATATGACCATGGAAGCATCTTCAAACAATGTTGATTTCCTTAGCAAGATGAGAACCATGCCCTAGAGTCGGACATGGTTGGACAAGGGAAAACTTTGCCTTTATTTTTAAGTTGGTGGCAACTCTTAGAGACTGCACGAATCTTACTCAGGACAGATTGTCTCCTCCCTTGAATTTCAGATTTGCCAAAGATAACCGATTCCATTCACTCAGCACATAGAGCAAACAAAGAGTACAGTCACCATGTGCTTTACTGCTCAACTGCATAGCTGTAACAGGAAACAGGAAACTCTACTGGACTTATACCATAGATCGAAACATGACAACATTGCCATCTACTGGCTAAATATTACTGTAGTTGTTACATAAAAATACATTTCAACAATGAATTCCAACAATGAATGGATTGTGGCTTAATGTTTCTCAGAGCAGTGGAAGGCAACATCTTCCGTCTGGGGCTGTCTTTGGAGGGCATCAAAGAGAGAATGGAGCAGTCTACATGGAACCAACAAGTTGGAGTAGAGATTTCTCCACAAAGCATCCCGTCACATCTCAGCTTCCCAATCCAGCTTTCTGAGGAGCAAATGGGAACTCCAACACCTTCTCTTCATGCTCCGGTCCCAGCTGTCTGCATGCCGTATCCTGAGGTGAAATCATGATTAATTAGAAGATTTGGGGCAACATTGCAAAGTGGTTCTATTTCAATTCACTTGGGTCTTTTTCCATCCGTTCCTCAGGCCTCTGCCCCCAAGAAGAACATCACTCAAGTTCAGCTGGAGGGGGACTTGAGTTCCATCAGTGACGGGGCTGGTGAAGAAGATTTCCTGGAGCTGCCCCAACCCTGCAAGCCTCAAGAGAAGGAGGATGTGGATTATCTTCTGGAGCAGTAAGGCTGTGTCTTTCATGTTCATGTCCACCCATAAAAAAAAGGAAGCCCAACAGGGGTGGGATGAAAATATTTTTAGTACTGGTTCTGTGGGCATGGCTAGGTGAGTGTGGCTACATGGGTGTGTCCATGTGACTGGGTGGGCGTGGCTCTTTTTTGCTGCAGCACACCCACCCACCCACCCCCTGCGCGCTCTGTTTTTTTTCCTCCTGAGCCTCAGGAAAGCCTCCTGGGCAAAGCAGTAAGAAAGCAAGGGGGATCCCAACACAGCTGATCATCTGAACAGCTGATCATTGGAACAGCTGATTGTCAGAACATCTGATCATCAGAACAGCTGATCGTCGGAACAGCTGATCGTCAGAACAGCTGATCGTCGGAACAGCTGAGCATCAGGAGGAGGAAAAATACTGGTTCAGCTGAACGGTAGCATTTTTTACTACCAGTTCACCCGAACCAGGCCGAACCAGTAGAATCCCACCACTGATGCTAAATTGAAAGGTGAAAAGTTGGCACAGGTGGGCTGCAATGAATCCATGATGGGTTCCTCTTAAGCTGCATCCAATTTCACTCCTGGGTTCATTCATTCAGACTTGGCACCATCATATTTGTGTGTTCCCACCTGATTTATTTATTTTTATTTATTTATTTATTTGTCAAGCAAGTATTAGATAAACAGGTATAATTATAAACATGGTTATGAATACGTGAAATGGATACGAATAAAAAAAGAAACAATAGGACAGGGACGGTAGGCACGTTGGTGCACTTATGCATGCCCCCTTACAGACCTCTTAGGAAAGGAGTGAGGTCAACAGTCAACAGTCTAAAGTTAAAGTTTTTGGGGTTTGGGGAAGAAACCACAGAGTCAGGTAGAGTATTCCAGACATTGACCGCTCTGTTGCTGAAGTCGTATTTCCTGCAATCAAGTTTGGTGCGGTTTACCTTGAGTTTGTATCTATTGTGTACTCTTGTATTGTTGTGGTTGAAGCTGAAGTATTCATGCACAGGTAGGACATAGTAGTAGATAATTTTATGTACTATATTTAGATTGGACCAAAGGTGGCATAGTTCTAGGTTGTCTAGGTCTAAAATTTCAAGTCTGGTGGCATAAGGTGATCTTGAGGCCATCAAAGCTTCATGGAAGGATGAAAGAAAAATCTTATTTGATTCTCCAGAAATGTTAGGTTTTTCTGTCCCAGTTCAATTTCCTTCTTCTCATTCCAAGGTCCAGCAGCTTCCGATCTTTGCCAGAGGTCTTGAGTCACAAACACAATGCAGAAGAACTGGGCACTGAAGCCACCACAGCTGCTGGGACCAAGGGTGGCTCCTTGCAGAAGCCACCTGCATCTAATAAAATCCCTCCTGCCTCCAAGTAAGTCCGTGTGAAAACAACCTGAGCTACTCCACGTTCTTGGAAGATCTAAGATCGCCACCTCCAACCTTCTCTTCTGGACTCCCTACCGCTCTGAATTTCCTAACGAACAGAATAGCAGAATTGGAAGGGACCTTGGAGGTCTTCTAGTCCAACCCTGATCAATCAGGAGTTCCTATACCATTTCAGACAGGTGGCTGTCCAGTCTTTTCTTAAAAGCCTCCAGTGGCACCCGCAACTTCTGGGAGACAAGTCATTCCACTGATTAATTGTTCTAACTTGTCAGGAAATTTCTCCTTAGTTCGAAGTTGGTTCTAGGTTAAAGTTCTAGGTTGCTTCTCTCCTTGATTAGTTTCCATCCGTTGCTTCTTGTCCTGCCCTCTGGTGCTTTGGGGAATAGCCTGACCTCCTCTTCTTTGGGGCAGGCCCTCAAATATTGAAAATCTGCTATTATGTCAACACTCGTGTTTTTTTTCACCCCTCTTCTTTGTAGCAGCCCCTATGATGTCAACTCTAGTCCTTCTTTTCATTCAACAAGACATGTCCAATTCCTGCCACCTTTCTTCCCAGTTCCCAGTTTAAACTACGCGTGCAAAACCATGGACGAACGGAAGAAACAGACAGACATCCAGGGAGGAAAGAGCAAAAAAAAATGCATATTTTAGCATGTGTGGCAGATAAGGTGAAAAGGGGAAAAAATAGATTAATTGAACCCTCCTCGAACAGAGGGATCTAATCTTCTGAAAATAATCAAAATCAGAGCTTAGATTCCTGGACAAAAAGATCTTGGAAAAAAATCACATTGGAATCCTGGCTTTCTTTCTTTCTTTCTTTCTTTCTTTCTTTCTTTCTTTCTTTCTTTCTTTCTTTCTTTCTTTATAAATAAATAAATAAATAAATATTTTTAATCTCTCTCTATATATAAAGGTAAAATACCACTCACGCATCATCACAAAATCTCCAGAACCATAAAGCCTACAAACTTGAAATTTGGCCCGTTATGTTCCTCTTGGCTTCTAGGAGCTCGCTAAGAAAGGATTCTTCAAAATGACCATCAGAGTATTTCATATATTATTATTATTAACATGCTCTGATGCTAAAGAGTTCTACTACCCCTGCCCACTTGGAAAGAAATCTGTAAGCCCGACTACATAGTTTCAGAGCGAAGCTAGTTTTTAATATAATCGTTCCATCTTCAGTTGAACAGTGTTGTTGTCTGGGTACAAACATCTTCGTTAAACAATAATCAAAAGTACCTCATCCTTCATTACATATTAATTCTGCAATATTTAACCTAGAATGTTCCGCATATTAATCGTACAATGTTAACCTAACAATCGTCAACATATTAATCATAATATTTACTTCTCTCTTTTAACGTAACTTCTTTATTTTGTTATCCTATTTCTAACTTCCATAATCCTGGCCTGATTTTTTTTCTTTTTCTAAGCTCGTTTGGCCGGGTTATTTTTGCTAGAGCAGCAAGTCCCCTTCCCCTGGTGTTTTGGGCATTCCGCGATGTGACTAAAATTAGAAACGGGCTTGGCTTTTTTTTTCGCCGCATCATCTAAAGCTGGAGAACAAAGACGTCTTTGGCTTTTTCTTTCTCGTTTACTTTCCCAGGCCCCTTCAAAGCCTCTTTAAGCCTCCCTCTCTCTCTCTCTCTCTCTCTCTCTCTTCCCGCTCCCGTCCTTCGTACTGTCTTCTGGCAAGGAAAGGATGCAGAGGACGAGAATGCAGAAAGGGAGGGAGAACGGAGAGGAAATTGACAGGAAGGAAGTCAGAACTCAGCAGGGGAATCTGAAGAGGTGGGAACTTCTTAAGCTGGGAAGCAACATTCTTCTTGTTTTATTTTTTGGATGGCTGGGACTTGGCTGGGAGATATAGAATGCTTGGAAGCAATTGCCTTGCCCCACTTTTCAAGCTTTCAGCTTGTAAAACCTGGCACCGCAACGGGGCCGCTACAAAGATTTCACTGTGCTTTTAACACTCCGTCCCCACTCTGATTTTTCTACAGGAGGTAAGGAAGGAGGGAGATTCTGAGGGAGGAGGGAGGTCTAAGAAAAGAGCCAAGGAAGGAATTCAATCGGAATAGAGCTGGGAGGGACCTTGGAGGTCATCTAGTCCAACCCACTGCTCAAGCAGGAGACCCTATATTGTTTCAGACTAGTGCCTGTCCAGTCTCTTCTTAAAGGAGCACCACAACTTCTGGAGATATGCCCTTCCATCGGTTGATTGTCCTCACTGCTAGAAAGTTTCTCCTTAAGTTCCAGGTTGCTTCTCTCCATGGTTAGTTTCCATCCATTGCTTTTAGTTTTGCTTTCGAGTGCTTCGGAAAATAAGACCCCTCCTCTTCTTTGTGGCAGCCCCTCAAATACTGGACGATGCTATCATGTCCCCCCCAGTCCTTCTTTTCTCTGGACTGGCCAGACCCAGGTCCCGCAACCGTTCGTCGTCTGTTTTATCCTCCAGTCCCCTCGTCATCCTGGTTGCTCTTCTCTGCACTCTTTCTAGAGTCTCAACCTCTTTTTTTTATAGACCAAAACTGGATGCAGGATTCTGGGTGTGGTCTTACTAAGGCTTTATGTGAATTGGGTCTTAAGTTGCGTGGAGCCACATAAGTAGGAGGCGTTTGCTTCACAACGCACAGACAGTTTCTAGGATAATTTGTCTGCATTTTATAAGCTCGTATTTGGAAGTTGTGTTGTTTTCTGGGTACTTCAGGCACTGGCCTGAAGAGGGGGTTGGACTAGAAGACCTCCAAGGTCCCTTCCAATTCTGTAAGTCTTCCACTTGCATGTCAGATTGTTGGTTGCAACCTTGATTAGCTTCTGGGAAACACTGGTATGTCCTTGTTCTGACCAAGGCTTCCTGAGACCATAATTAATCACACGCTTAATCCAAACAACCCTCTTTTTATTTCAATGGCTGGGAACTATGTTCATTCCCAGCCGGTAATGAGTTCCAAACAATCCCACCCACCTTTCTCTCCTTTGAATTGCTGCCAATAACTAAAGTGCCAAATTAACTGTAAAAAGCCAAACAGAGGACAAAATCCACACAGAGCTTCAAAGTCAGAGTGAACAAAGTTGCTTCCTGCAAAGGCTTCTGTCCCTTTGCTCCTCCTTTATGACTTATGGCTTACTCCCGAGTCGCCCCTTTTGTCTTAACTGTTCTTGCCTTCTGGCAGCTCTGGACATGTGCACACTGGTAGCAGGCTCCCACTGTTCCTCTGCCTCGCTGCTGTCAGATTCTGGAGGCTCCAGAGTCAGCACATAACTCCCAGATGGCCCTGGCCCCATCTCTGTATCAGACGAAGGATCCTCATCTGAGTCCTCCCCAGACTTCCGGCCCGGCCCATGTTCCTCCCCACTGTCCAACTCTGCTGCCATGTCCGCAGGCTGCCAGGGGACCACAACAGTCCTTAAATTTAAGGACTTGTTCACAAACTAATGCAGCTTTGCTTTTTGTGATAGGAGACTTCAAGCGAAGGAGACTCCTGAGCGATCGCTTAGAAAGGTCCAGCAGCCAACCCACCAAAGCAGGCATGTGTCTTCCGTCCAAGCAGAAGCAGCTCTCAGTGAACCCGCAGAGATCAGCCGTCCCATGGTTGCGGTTCACAAGATATTCTCGAGAAGGAAGCAGGAGGCGGAGTTTTCACCTCACAGCAGCATGGCGAGCGTAAGGGGAAGTGTAGCATCGGAATCTGGCGCTCCACATTCACCCCGGAAGATGGACACGACGTTGTGTGAGGTAAGTCTTGAGTTGGCGATGGCAAACACGGGGGGAGAATTCCAGGTAATCCATCTTGTTCACTCGGGAAGATTGAGGAAGGAAATACAATCTCAAATATCTCCAGAATAGAACTTGGAGACCAAGATAGAAAGAATTATTTGTGTCCTGATCTCTGGGATCCTTTAGATATTGAAGGTACTAAGAAACCCCACCAGATAAGTCCACTGGACATGGTTGAGTCCACTTTGGATGGAGCTACAACTCTTTCCTAAAGAATCATTGAATGTCTATGGAGATCCTCAGTCATTCAGGTCATGGTTGCCCCAAAGGTGCTTTTTCAAGAGGCAACTGGACTTTCTGGTTTTTCTTTGAAGATGTTTCGCTCCTCATCCAAGAAGTTTCTTCTGCTTTTCTAAAGATAGAAGAAGATAACCTATGACTATCACTAAGTGTTGTATCTTATGCTTCTTGATGGATGTATCTTTTCTTTTATGTACACTGAGAGCATATGCACCAAAGACAAATTCCTTGTGTGTCCAATCACACTTGGCCAATAAAGAATTCTACTCTACTCTACTCTACTCCTATTCCTATTCTACTCTACTCTACTCTACTCTACTCTACTCTACTC